AGTCGAGCACACAGCACAGATATACTTCCACAATCTGATTAAAAGGATGTGAGTAATCGAAGCATGAAAAGGTAGTTATATAGTGAGGGGAGGGGAGGGGGGCGGGAGGTGTTGGCCGAGTGGTTGTAGGGCTAATCGTGGCGCGCGCAGGAGCGATCCCCACGACCTAACACTTCGGCAGTCAACAATGAACGCTCGTGAAACGCCACCACAGCCAGGCTATCCCCTAGATTGAAAGCAGACGTGCTCATCCCGGATACTAGTCCAACAGAAAGCGACAAACAATTACTCGATCCGGTTTTTGAAAGAACCTTTTCCTTTGGCGTTGTTACAGAAGGAGAAACTTTGTGTTTCGCACACGCGCATTTTTCCCGCAAAACAGAGCTCTTTCTCTGGACTTTTAGTAATCACTCGATAACGTAGGATTTGAGGAATCCAAGGCTGTGCTTATTTTCTGGATATAGCGCTCCTCTGCAATGTAGCAGGGAAAATAGCATGGTTTCACACATTCCACTCACTCGTTCACAGACTAATTCACGAGCGGGGGGTCTGGTGGCCGCAGATTCGGTGCGGCGGCCGGCCACGATCGATCGATCGACGCTCAGAAGTGCAATTTTTCTCCTTCGATAAGGAATATTTTTTCCGCTTTGGAAGAAATCTCAAATCGAACGTATAATTCTGATAGACAAGCCTCTCCTCTACATGTTCATGTGCTTTTCGTGCTTCCAACGCAGTAACAGCTGAATTGCTCAGCCGATGTGAAACATAATCTTATTCTGAATTTTACAGCGTTATGAAAGGGTGCTTCAAAAAATCGATCACGTAGCGCGCTAGCTAGAGATTTAAGCTATCGAATGATTACTAACACTGCTACGAAAATTCTTGTCCAACAAATGGGATCGAATATTCATTCGTCGCCTTAGGGACAAAAACCTAAAATTATGTAGTGCGGAGAACATCATAAGACAAGTCTGAGATGAGAGGAAGAGATGAATGAAAAGCAGACAGCGTCAGGAATGAACAAAAGTGAAAGAATTGGTTGAAAGAATAACAAATTCCAAACGATTTCCGTAGCAAAAAGAAATGCAAGGGACAGGTGGAGGCCTTGATCGATTTATTGATTTTGATCGTTGATCGACTGACGTATTGATTGGTTGGATGGGGTAAACGGATTTAAGAAAATCACTCGACTGAGCGATGAGAAATGTGGTGACTGCGCAAATTGGATTGGCGTCAGTAAGTTTTCAACGTAATTTTTGGCGCCTTTTGTGTAAAGAGTGCGAATCGCGATTGGAGCGCGTTTTTATACGCTGGATCGGCGCACTGTGACTGGGTCACATTGGTCAGTGAGAAATGTAAATTTTTGATGAAGATTGAGCTATATCGTCTTCAATTGCCTCAAACATATATCCTGGGCCTTTTTGGATAGGGGCATATATGCATGTGAAACCATCTGAATACGAAACTTTTAAAATTCGGGAGGGAATCGACCCCTTATCTTACCCTCCCGGCGGCGCGTGACAACCTATTGCGCTACCGGGGCTTGGGTCCTGCTGCTACTATTCCTGCGATAGAAAATATAGATTTGTCAGCTGCCAGTCACCAACGATTTGACTTCGGTAGGCGCATATCGGCATCAAACCCAATTACGCGGACAAATTCCCAAGCTGTGTAGTGGCTTGTGGTTCTTTTAACTGTATTGCAATATGTAGCAGACCAGGAGCATCGGTAGTGCAGTCGGTTAGCACGCGCCACCGTAAAGGGTGAGACGTGGAATGATCCCGTCCAAGGTTGAAAGCTCTGCGTACCAGTTCACATCATTTCATTTATAGTTGTAACATCATGCCGGGGACACTTTGGCCGAGAGACTGTGATGCTCGTCGCGGCTCGTGTGAAGTATCGAGCTCTATTCCCCCTCCCCCGCAACACTCGTCCTATGGAACGCCACAGCCATTCTATTCCCGAGATTGCATGGAGACATGCTTGACCAGTATTCTATGTCATTCGAGAAGAAGATGAAAAACGAATCGAGTGCTAGAAGTACTGGGATTTGCACAGTAAAAATTGTGAAAACGGATCATGTAAATAAGAAAAAATAAAAAGACATCATACCAGCAGGCTAAAAAGCACTTGAATAAAAATCTTGTTGTTAATGAAGATTTTCCTACATCTGGCATATTCTTCCATACTTTTCCTGGCTGGAAGTGACGTTGAGATCTCGGAAGCTTCTCCGGACTTGTTTTCAACACTGTCCTATCGTGGCGAGCTTTTTCAGCGGGAGGGTAGACGGTCGGAATGATGTGGCCCATTTCTTCCAGTGTGAATCTATCTGCTTATCTAAGCTTAATGCCGATATGTGCCTACGAGACTGGACCCGATTATGGCTGGTTGCTGACAGCTTCGATGTTTTGTATAGCAGGAAGAGTGATAGTAGAACAGGTAGGTCGATAGAGCAATAGGTTAGCACGCGCCCTGGAAGGGTGAGATGTGGGTACGGATCCCGACAGAGGTCGATAACCTTTCATATCACTCACAGTTCGTCGAATATGTAGTTGCGACTTTATCACACTGCTCTGTAAAGCGATAATGATAAAAATACACAATAATGTTAAGAGATGTGGAAAACTTCTGCGTGGGGATTCAAGCCCACATTCATTCCTAGCCCTGGTCTCACGCTCTAATCCGTTGCACCACCGGCGCCTGTTTTGTCATCACTCTTTCTATTATCGTCTGTAACATATGTATCTAATATCATTCAGCGTAACTGGCTTCGAGGCCAATATCGTCTACCAGACCAAACCGTTCGCAGTTAGCTGCTGATAGATTGATGCGTCGTAGCGTAGGAAGAGTGGTGGGAAAACAGGAGTCGGTAGCACAACGAGTTAGAGCACGCATCCGCGGATAGGATGGAGTGCAGGTTCGAGCCCGCTGGCACATAAGTTTTGCACGTCAAATAACATCATCGGGTATATCTGTAATATCGCAGCACCGCCATAAGTGATTGAAATGGAAAAAACTTCTTGTCTTCATGTACTTCGCTATTGTACACCCACTTATAGTTTGCAGGCTCAAAACTCTTGAATGGTACGTTCTTTTGCAAGTTGGAATACTATAAATGGGTAAGTAATGCGATGATATTGATGAGCACTTGACAACTAATGGAGGTTTTATACACATCTGATGCATGGTTCCGGATTTTTTTTAGCTGTAATGGCGTTGAGTTTTCAGCAGCTTCATCAATCTCGTTCTACCCAGTGCCGTCTCATCATGTGAGCATTGTCAGAGGTCGAGGATAGTGTCGGGGTACTAAGGCTCATTTCTCTTAGCTTCAGTTTGTTGATTATCTGGTTTAGTATCGAGATCTGTCTGCGAGATCAAACCGATTGACGATTGATTGCTGATAGTTTCAGTACAATGTATAGCAGAAAGAGTGATAGCAAAAGAAGAGCTTTGATGGTGCAGGGCTTAGCGTGCACCACCGTGAAGGCTGAAACGCGGGTTCAAATCCCTCACCAGAGCTCCAAGTTTTGCATATCACTCAACATTCTTGAATCTTATAGTTATAACATTATGACAGTGTCTTTGAAGAGTTAAATAAAAACAAATTCTTTTCGGTCATCCGGCGACAATTGAATACTCGATCTCGTTTGCTGGAAAGAAACTTTTTATAGAAGTGTTAGTGATCGTTCAAAAGTGTCTGGCTAGAGCTCTACGTTGCCTGTTTTCGAAAAGATCCTCTCATAAAGCTCTAAAGTTCAAAGTAAAAGTATGTTTCGCACGCACTTATTTCATGCCAGACAGAACTCTTTTCTCAGAGTATTAGTAATCATTGGATAGCGCAAGGCTTAGTGATTCCAACGCTCATGCTTATTTCGTATACCGTTCCTCTGCAGAACTGCAGAGAAAGTAAGTTTGAATTCGCATGCGCGATCACGGCCGCCGGATCAGGCGGCAAGGGTGTTTGACGAGATGATCGATCGATTTTCGAGCATATGAACGCGTAGAGGAAATGTCATAGTATATAAATGCTACTGAGCCACTGTTGAAAGCAATTAGGATGTTGTAACTTTCTAAACTCTATCAAAGTGATTATTTTGATGGTTGATTTATGTGTATTCATGGCAAAATAATAGTATTCAAAGCCTTTTTATAGCAGAATCACACGTTTTATTTGAGGTTTTTCTTTCAAAGCGGAGAAACATTTCCTAATTGAGTAACAAAGATCGCACTTTAATAGGACCGGTCGATAATCGATAGGTGATCGCGCGTTCAGTCTTATTTTCCCTGCTGCATTCGAGAGAGACGGTCTATTCAGGACATGAGCACAGCGTATGAATCACTTGAGCTTGCGCTATCGAATGACTACTGACAGTCTAAGAATAGAGCTCTGTCCGGCGAGATGTATATCGTGTAAAACATAATGTTATATTGAATTTTACAGTGTTATAAAAAGATCTTTTCAAAAACTGGCCAAGTAATGCTCTGGACAGAAACTTAAGCTTTCGAATGATTATGAATACTCCTACGAAAAGTTTCTGCCCAACGATTGAGGTCGAATATTCATTTGTCTCCGGATAACCGAGAAGTACCATAAAACATTTGTTGTACCGGTGTGTTTCGATATACCCACCTAGACTTAGCAGGCTCAAAACTCTCGAATGATGACTTGTTTGCGATCAAAGTAGTCCGCATTTGATATAATTCTGGGAAAATCACTCGGTATAACCTCATTTTTTACTATTCGCCATACACGAGCGGTATTGTATGTCGTTCATTTTAGAGGCTACAAACAATTACGTCATATTCGTAAGTATTCTATGAATAGTAAACAAGTTTTGACTAGCTTTTTTTAAAATTTCGCAGGACTGCTGATATCGATTTACTGTACTGATTGCAGCACTTCTTGCATACAATTCGTTTCCTCTCATGCACCCTCCATGAAAATTGTCAATTGTAATGAAAGATAACTTACCATTGTGACAATTACCATAAGTTCGTGGGCTTCCTTAGCTCAGTTGGTAGCGCGTCAGTCTCATAATCTGAAGGTCGTGAATTCCTCACCGGGAGCAGTTGTTTTGGACTTCGTCATACTTTCAGTCAAAGTCTCCTTCCGTAGCAACTAATGTACTTTTTTGCACCATCTGTGATCATAATCTGATGTGGCGGCCGTAGCACTTCTCGTATTTGATTCGTTTCCTCACATTCGTCTTGACAAAGGTCCTCGAGCATTCGTGTTGTTTCGACTGCTGATTGAAGACTTCACCTTCTTAGTGGCTGTCGTAGGACGCTATTCAAGACGATTCTAACTGAAATTTGATAATCTTAACATGATAGCAGGTTTTGGGCCTTATATAAGATCTGGTTCGTCACTTATACAGTACTAGACAGCTCCTGTTTCGCTCTTACAGGCTCATTAGTAGCTCGGTGCGTTTCGGTACTTTTTGAGCCTTTTATAGATCTGGCACGGCGCTTATACAGCACTAGACAGCTGCTGTTTCGTCCTCGCACGCTTTTGAGCGAGGTCTATATAAAAAGTCGAGAGTAAAGGTAGGATTCACTTCTACCAGTCATAAGCGCTCGACTGTGGTCACACAATGTCGGGAGATTTTGTCACTCGACATGCGGCGATCTAGTGACTCGGCGTCGATTCCCTTATTAGTAGGGGTATATCGCCCTGCAAGGAATCGAGTGAACCGAAAGGCAGCATGCTACTGATGAACTTGCAAAGGCGATACATTAGCTGTCTAGTAGTGTACAAGTGCCGTACCGCATCTCATTAAAGGCTCAAAACATGTTACTTCGTCATCAGATTATTAGTTTGCTACCCACATAAGCAGTCGGGAGTCAAGGTGTGATTCATTTTCTTTGTAATTCTGAAGAAGATCGGGCTAAGATGATTAGTTCTAAGAGGAAGGGTAATAGGAGAGGATCAAACCAGTATTTTGCTTTTAATACACTGTGTCAATAACCACTACGCGACTCCGCACTTATTGATCACATTGCGCTTAGTCATGGGGGTAACTTGTTCTTTGAATATACCCAATATGTGGAGTGCTGTAGCAAAAACGTTTGCGTCAGCCGGGATTCGAACCCAGATCTCACTCTTTCCGGGAGCGTATGCTAACCGTTGCACTACCGACGCTCGTTTTGCACAGCACTCTTATTTACGCTATAACGCGATGTCTGCCAACGGCCAACCATCGACTTTCTGGCGGGGCAGCCGCTATCGTCATTGAACCCCTTGTGTTCTTTGAATACTTTTCATATATTACCCAATATGAGGTGGTATAATTCCTTTAATAAACGCTACTTAGGAGTGCACGTGGCGCAGTGAGTAGAGGTGTCCTGCGTCGTATACAAGGTATGCTTTGATCGCACTTATGGCTCACCAGGCCACCTATCTCTCCGGAGTCGGTAAACTGGCATCAGCTTTGTCTGGGAGGAAAAGCAGCATTGACTCGGTAGAGCGGTAGGCTACCGCGACTCATTGTAAAGGCCCGATATGCACCTCAAACGAAGTTGAAAATCAAAAACGTATGTAAAAACGTATCCATGGCACATTCTTCAGGGAATTGGTCAACGCATAGAGCGTTATCCTTCATCCTTTGAGAGCTGCTCTATTGAAAATTCAAGGCGGAACACAATATCACTATCTCCCATGTATGTTCCTTAGGTGCTGCATTTACCAGTAATGGTGATTCTGGTTGTCCTTTGTCTACATAGGAGAAACTCACCTACATCAAATGAAAAAGCGGTGAGAATCTCTTTGTAATATTATTTGCACTGTGTATCTAATCACATACGTTTTAATTAACTATTTGAGATCACGAAATGAGAAGCAATTTTCATTTTTATTATTACGAAAAAAGGAGCTACTTTACAGATTTTGTTGACAAAGGATGCACATCGCGGTATCCCGCGTTCCAATACGCGAAACTGTGTTTCACCAAAGTATGATATTAGTTAAGATTTTTACACCTGAGTGCCACTATAACATGAGCATGAAGTAGAAATCTAATTATATTTATTCATGCGACCCGTCATCATATTTCACTGTGGAGACCCCAGCTCTTCTTGCATACAACTCGTTTCTTCGCACCACTAGCAAACGTCTTTGAACATTTCATATATGCGTTGTAGTGCTGGTTCAGTGTATTCGCTCCTTTTTCTCTAATAAATATCTTGAATGGTGACTGAGTCGATTCTCTCCAAGTCTTAGGATAGCTTGCCAAGCGTTGCTGCATAGATCTGTGGGAGTAAGTTGGGCCCAGATACGTTTCTAATGCCAAATTCGCGTTCTAGAGGGGTGAGAGGCTTGATAAATTTGGGAGTAGATTGAACAAGTACCGTGCTAATGATGAATGGCATCACTGCATCATTACCACTGCGCTACTTGTTTCTAGATTCTAAAAGGATATAGACCACTTATCAATATGTCTATTCTTCAGTTCTATTGATGAACGGATGAAAAAATAACAGATGTGATAAAAATTTGTTCTCATTTCTTCAGGCCTCCTGACGGCATTCCCGTTGCACCTCCTCCTGAGGATCCTCGTGATGATACGCTGTGGTAACTATTTCTGTATTTGAGATGTAATAGCACTTCAAATCTTCTATCTGCTCATATATCATTTTCAGTGGCGTCAAGTCCTTGGATATCGAAATCAGTGGGAAAGGTGTTAAAGGCCGCCCAAAAAAATGAACATGATGTTGTTTACTTAAGAATTCAAAAGTCACACAAGCAATGTACTTCCAAATAAAGTTTATTGTTTCGTTGATTCAGTATTTGGAAGAAGTCGTTTGGTAGGGTGCTCTCCATACATCGAATGACTTCCATTTCCACCATAGAACTATCTTCAATAAGAACAATCGACATTATTCACAATAATCTTCTTCTGGGTGTTGAGAGAGTTGTTTGATAGGGTACCCGTACGGATGCAGATAGCTGGATTCCCCGAGTAGGACAGCAAATTTGTAGAAAATACTTCCCTAGATTATATAAGGTCTCCGATCTAAAATTAGATCCTAATAGAGGGAATAGGAAACGGTGGGAAGAGTACAGGGCAAATAAATAAGGTGTATAAGCACGTGAAACTAATAGTTGATAAACAAACATTTCCTCATCTTTGATATTACAAATTACGGTGCCTTTCTGTTAGACGGTGACAAATAAGTATTCGATAACTTTGCGGTACAAGATTTTTCATAGGAGTGTTTGTAATCATTCGAAAGTTAAAACTCTGGCTAGAGACATGCGCAGGCGGTTTTCTAATGACCCTTTTACGATGCCGTCAAACCCAAAATAAAATCATGTTTCACACCCGTCGCGCGCCTTCTTTTTATACGCGTATAATTCGCTGGAAGCACGAAAAGGATATGAGCGTGTAGAGAAGGGACAACGGAATGAGAACGGAGACTCTCTTGTAGAATTTCTGTCGTGCGATATCTCTTCTGGAAACTCATTTTTTGAGAATAGAGAAAACTGATGATGGACATGGGTATCTGTCAACGGCACGACTCATGCGGAGAACGATCATGTGATTACAAAAAGAAAATGGTGTTTTCTTACCTCCTCATTCGTACCTGGCTTCTGTACGGGATCTAATCACTGCTTCTCACGTGCGAAGGTTCGATTCAGTTATGATATAGAAGAGAAATGTTGTTGTTTCGATTGCCTGTCTTGACCGACCTAATGTTCGTAGTGACCTGAAACTTGGGTAATTTGGCCTTTATCACTTGGGTTATTAGACCTCTATCTAGATAACATTTTCTAGATAACATTAGTCTTCTCAAGGCTAGTGGCCACAATCTACATGTACTTGTCGCAAGACATATGATATCACACCTTCAGAGAGAAAAAATCCCAGACTAATGGGGGCTTCGCGCACAGTGATCCTACTCAAGAAGGTTGACAAAAGAGATTTTGTCACTACCCCTCAATAAGCCTATCAAGTGTATACGAAATTTTTGCAAAAATCATCCTTTTGCGCCTATCGAAGACCTCGGATGAGGCAAGTTGGACCACGTCCAAACCGTATCACGGTTCATGAGAGACTGTAGGAAATACCTCATGCCCCTTGTTCAAGCCCTTATGACTATGAGAAAGCGTTTGACAGCGTTGAGGCACGGCTTTTCCATCAACTTCTCACCATGTAGTACTAAACAATACAACGCCAGTAATGCATGTCAATGATGAGCATATAACTATTAATGAGAATCTTGTACACATCTAATATATGGTTCCAGAGTTCTTCAGGTGGAATGGCGATAGGATTTCAGCACCTTCTCAATTCTTCTTCTCTCTTTTCTCGTTCTTCTCAACGCCTCCTTATCGTGAGCGGGCGGACTTTTTCAGCTGGAATGAGGGCCGCAGTAATATAGTCCATTTTTCCCACTATGGTTTAACTGCTTATCTGAGTTTAACTCCTTGAGTACCAAGTTAATTGTGCACGCGGCTGGCGACGCGACTGAGAGAGCGCAGCTCGTTTCAATGACATAGTTGTGTTTTTCTTATGAAATTTAGAATTTCATCACCACTAAGAATGGGTCAATTGCCGGTAAACAGGTAAGTTTGAGAGAAGAGTCTCCAGCAGAGCAGATTTTGATCAAAACGGCATAGGACAGTTACAGGACTATGAAATGCTCGCAAAAATCATAGTGCCCATTGCCATACGATGCCACTTCATCGAAAACTTTTAAACAATTTTAATTATCAGTGGATTTCAGGCGTTGAAATCTTCATATAGTTGTACTATAGGCTTTGTTCTTTTGCTTCATGGGTATACTTTTCTATATCCCCACTTATACTTTGCTATGAATATTATTGACTTTCTCATTTTCATTTTCAGAGAATTTTTCAAAGAGATCAAATAAAACTATGTCGAGGCTTGTTCCGGCCACATACTAAAATATCATTCTGAATAAGTTTCTTCTCAAACTCGTCCATCGTAGAAAAAGGCGCTTTAGATCTTCATTTATACAACATAGTCTAAAGAAAACGTAAAGAAAGCGTTCAAAATGTATTGCGTTCCCGACTATGTAGCTTTAGCATCAAAAAGTAAAGAGCTAT